CACATGAGCGGATTTAGAGGGGGCCGAGGGGGCCGCGCCCCTTTATTTTTAACAACCAAGAGGGCTTCGCGCCATCGGCGCTCGCGAACTTGGCCTTCCGCCAACTTATCGCCCCCCCCCCATTTCAGAATCCTAGATCCGCCCCTGACGCATATCATGGTATTGTTTGCTGATACAAGTTGGGTAAGGAATTTATAGTTGGCACAGATTTGTCATACACATACACATACACACATCATGCTCCCTAGTATACGTTAGCCGAGTTTATTGTTATCACAGATTTGTCATGCATGTCATTATGGTGCTCCCTAGTACACGTTAGCCGAGTTTATTGTTATCACAGATTTGTCATGCATGTCATTATGGTGCTCCCTGGACAGGTTGGCTGAGTTTATGATAGGCACAGATTTAACATGCTTGTGATAATGTTCAGATAGTGTTTCTGCGCCCTCATCGACAGAATCACTCGGGAAGCAAACTGCCTGACACCTGTGGATTTTTTTGTCGACAGTAAAGAGCGCCTACTGTGTCAGTGATATTTGCCCTGTAGGGATGTCTCAAACACATATATAAGCAGTTTTTCAGTCCCAAGATACTCATTCTCATTATTTTAACAGTCTCTCATCCCTTGAACCATATACCTTGAAAACCCACGACATGTCAAGTATATTTATTGATATTTATACTATAGGACACAGTCCCAAACATATACAGCGCTTTCGTCAATATGTATAGTGTTGAGGAATAGCGCAAAATAAAATAGCAATACAATAATATTTACATATTCAGCTACATATTAAGCATGCTGGTTTGTTTTTTAAAGGAAAATAACAAACAAAAAATGGTTGGATTGCATATAGTTTGAAAATGGATAATACTCATCAACTCAATGAATTTGCCTAGGATAAGGACCTGTATGAAAAAAGTCAGAGATATATATTGTTCTCAGTTCATAACACGTTAGGCAGATACGACTAAACTGCAACTCATCTGCGACTACGTTATTTGGCAAGATTACATTGCATGTCTGAAATCCGTACCATCAATACAATGTAAATATTTTTCCTTGTGTAGGACACTTTTAAATTATATATTAAGGTATGTGCTTGAAAGTATCATTCTTACCGGTTGGAAACATAGCATCGGGCATCCACATACACAACCCCGATATGTACATTACTGAAATCAAATGTTTTTTTGTTTTTTCAAAATCTGTTTAAAAACTTTAAACATGTTTTAGTCCAGTCAGTATCTTTGTTGACAATTTTGTTTTAATATTTGTAAAATGTATTTTTTTTATTTAATAGTAACGGTTAATAAAAAATACTTATACACGGCCTGAAAATCAAACAATCAAACAGACAGACAAATACATATTTACTTATTTTAACATTTATTTATATTCATTTTATTTTTATTTTGACAGTAAAATGTAATATTCTTTTGTCTATAGTTTCTTAAAAGGTTAATACAATACACATTGTGGGCTAATAAAATAAATAATTTAACCCCAAACCTCCCAGAAGGTTATCATACGAGTAAGTTTCAACCATGGAGGTATAAACAGATTATACCTCCATGTTTCAACTATATTGTATATTGATAGTGTACATATGCAATTACATGCACCCTCTTTACATTATGTTATACATCAATCAAATAATATATTCGAAATAGAATGAAAAAACAGTCTTCAAATTGGTCTCTGGGCGGCTATCACGGTGTAACATTTGGGCGCACGGTGAAATAGTTCCCCCGTGGTGACTGGTAATGATCAAACCCCCAATGACCACACAGAGGCACGTGTCGATTAACTTGTAACGCTCGTTTGTTCAGAAAAAAATACACGGTGTTCGGTTTGCATTGTCTATCTTAGAACACGAAGGATATCTAGAATATGTTCTTTTTAAAGGCCGTACATTCATGCGACTCATGGACAATGACATTTAACGACACGCAAAACAAATAAATTCCATAACTGTTGAGAAGCAATTAATGAACTTGTCGGGCTTAGGTCAAATTTTGCGCCACTAATCTGAGCCCGAGTTTGTTTTCTGGCATTGTTATCATCAAAGGAAAACCCTGAAATGTTAACCGGGGGTTAAGGGTCAAATATCAACCATGCTGGGATATTATCAATTTTAATATTCCCTTTGTTTAACCGACCATTTGACTCAAGCACTGCCTGTACGATACACCTATACTGTAGGTGCGACTGCGTCAATACACCACAAGGGCAGAGTGTGAAAAACGACACCGATACAACTCATTCATATTCATGAGCTAGGGGGTTGTCATAACTACACGCCGAAGCACGATTGTAGACCTACTGTAGGACAATAGACTCGAGGAAAGCCGATCGACGTAAGTAAAGTCTCGGTGTCAAGTCGCTAACACTGAACCCATGTATAGAGATCTGACAGTGTGTCCAGCAGGACACCATTGGAGAAGAATCGGTTAAGTGGCTAACAGTATGGCCTGTGCACCTCACACGTAACATATCAACATGTCTGCTAAGGAATACGGAGGTTTACCACGACCCTATACTAACAATAGCTTTCAGACGAAACTGTACCAGTTTAAGGAACTAATTGCAGAACTTACTCAACAAGACAGTGAAGCAAGTCCAGAAGAACGTCGACAGATTATAAACGGTAGGGTAGTTTTATTCGGTATATCCGTACGCCCATGCACCATTAATTGATTAGTGATTTCAATGTCAACCCGCAAACAGGTAGTCGTTGAGTTGTGTATAATATCCCACTGGTATCTATTCTGTGTCACTGTAGTGTATACTGTTATTAACAACACGAACAACCATGACGCTAATAGCGCAATGGTAAACACCACATTGAATACCTTACGGTCTGCAGGACACAAGCCTGGCATATCGACCGAACATTTTAACTTCTAAGAAATCCACGGACGCTATCTTCCGCATTCTGTTCCAGATAGTTATTCGGTACTGTACTGAAGTTGAACATATTTACAGCGGAGCTCACACTATAAATCTGTCTCACATTCATTTCAGAAACGCTACGGTTCGACGCATTTTGTGACGCAATCCGTTCGTTATTTGGACCTGATATACGCAACCAAGACCTAAAAGCAATATACAGAAAAATTACCACTAATCCCGATGCTAAAGTCGATTGGAGCGAGGCAAGTAACAGTACATATATTACAAGGACATAACAACATCAAGGGGGCGGCGGTAACACCGTCGGCATAAATGGGGGTTGTCACGACGACTTGTGTCTAGAATAATGTCTGTGAGCCTTATACATTGAGTTATTACTCTCTATACACTTATTGCAAACCGTAATCCCCTTATTATTTGCGTTCACATGCTAAGCTTATTATGACCTATGCCAGGAGTGATTGACTCATAGCTCCTGGGCTATACTGTCATAATAAATGTACACATATACTATAGTACAATTATTCTACTATAGTTACATGTAATTACATAAAATAAACCCGGGGCAGTAACATAAACCATTATTTTACACTCATGGGATGGATATTTAAATGAAAATCACGATCAATGGAAATGGCAAATGTATTATTCTTATTGCTTCCGTCTCCCGGGAGACGTGATCTTTTAATGCATCATCGATTTAATTTATCACCGAACATGTCATTAAAATGGAAAGAAAACAACGCAACTGACGGTGCCGATGATGAAGAAATATCAGCTGCATGGAAAACATCTCGATCCGAGAGACTGTATCAGAATAAAGCGATCAGATTGCAATGTATGTCTATCAAGAATAGTTTAGCCCGGCAACGCGTACAAACGCCTGGGTTTCCATGGAATCCATTCAAATATAACCATAATTCAGACAGATGTTCATTGTCCACATGTATACCATAGTATAATTATTTACAAGCTTGATGTAAGACTGTCGTATATGGACATATGAAAGATGTATGGGAATTTTATTGCAATGCTATAGAATTTTCTTTATTTCTTTTTAACTGGCGTCGTACTGTTGAATTAGTTTATAGTAGTATGTGTACGTGTTGTCTCGGTCTACACAGATTGGCAGAATGAGCTTTATCTTAACGTGCCTCATATTTGCGTTGGCAACAACACTGCAATACTCTTTGCTCCCGGCGACAAAACACAGTGCCTTGTCCTCTAACTAACAACTTACATATATAGTCATAATACCCAATGATAATGTTATCTAATAATTAGTCATTTATTGTTTAAATGATTAATCATGATCAATATTCAATGATGACAATATAAAGCATTTGGAATATTGTTTCTGAAACTAGACTACAAGATGACACGAGTGTCTATCAGTATTTAAAAAAAAACTACAGTTTTGCCTGGAAACGTTATAAACACCAAATGTCAATAGCAACGAGTAGCAACAAGATTCGTGCGTCAGGTTTTGTCGTAAGGTCGAGGTAACTGTAGTCACAGTCTACTCATCTGTATATGGGAAGGATAATTAACAGCGGGTATAAACATTTATTGATGTGGGCAATGTAGAAACGCAATATAATAACATTGATTAGAATGTGAAACGAGAGGGCACTAATAACAATAACGCAATAATTTGAAAGTCAGAAATAAAAAAAAAAAGATAAACAAACGGTCAGTCAGGCAGGCAGGCAAACAAATAAATAGATGCCTAGTACCTTCCTTGATACTAAATGTTAACAATTTATCGTCACAAATTATTACCAATGCAGGACAGTCAGATATTATAATATTATTACTAAATTATGTGAAGCCTGTTTAGTTGTTATTTGTTTGTAATATCAAAGACACCGAGTATCTAGTGTCGTTGGTATTATGAACCTCTAGATAAGTTATTTTCTGAATTCGGCCTTTAAATATAATAAGTTAGTAAAAGAAAACAATTGAAAAGTGTAAACTCGATTATTTGAGAGGACATGGTAATATACAGAATATTTGATACAACAAAGTATTACGTGCAAGTGCCAGCCTGAGGGACAATGACATCAAATACATATCGAGCGCCCTGGAATTCTCCTCAAATAAAAGCAGGCAATGTAACTGAAACGATTAAGCAATGTTTACAATTCATATTCAATATGAAGCATAAAGCTTTACTGGCATTCAGAGGGAAATGTGATACAATTGAAACCAATGGTTACCAAGCTTCGCGCGAAGTGTTTATCATTACACGTGAGAGTCTGTATGTGTAATTAGTCTCTAGAATAAATATTCCAGCTCATTATACAGAAAACAGCAATTTAAAAAAGAACATTTAATTATATATTGTCAAGCGCAGAGCTAATACGGAATTCGTTGGTTATCTTATATGAAACCTGAAAGGAAAGAGCCGTTTCAATAACTACTCATTTATGATGACGGAAGTGCCGCCAACATCATGTGCCAATCAATTAAATGCCACGATCACGGCCGCGTGCCCATTAACTGTATTGACGTACTAGTATGTGCTTCTATATGTATCTAATATGTTTGTTGACAGTGCAGTTACATTCATTGTGAATGTCATGGTGTTTTACTACATAACAATTGAAATATTCGAAGTATAGCTCTCGTAAATCGTTTATATTGAATTGATTGCTAACTCACTGTTGCGATATGATACAATTTATATAACAACTGAGATTTAAAGCAATTTACGAGGACAGCATTTGCTCACTGAAGTTATATAATTGACAAATATCAATTTAACATAAATGGTGTACATGCATGGTTATAAGTTCGTGACAGTTCTGTGTAAAACTGCATTACTCTGTACACCGGTAGGTATCCCACAATGCAATGGCGCATTCCGATTTATTGAATATCCATGTACTGCATATGCACCAACTGACAGCAGCTATCTTTACAAAATGTATTCATGTTCAGTGGTGACGATCAATGATGCTTCTTGGGTTGTTATCAGGATCATTGTGGAGCTCTATTCTGGCCCGGAACCCACGGAGCATTAAACTTGGAATTATCAGTGGTTCTTCGTTTTCTTATTACATGTACCTATTTCTGATTTCACCGAAATCAAAGATAAGTTTCGTTGCAATGCAATTTGAAATTAATTTAATTGTGGTTATTCTTCAACTTGAACAAAGAAAGTGAGATAGAAAACATTCACTTCCCCTGTCGCCCCTGTCATTAGCGCTTAACTCAGCAGCATAACGTTCTAAACGTTTTCAATTTAATTTACTTTCAGTTGTTTGGTTATTTTCAATCCGAAAATGAAGACCAGGAACAGATCGTGAATGAAGAGGTCAGTGTATTCACAGTATCTAAAAGACACAGAATTGGAGAGGCTGCCGGTAAGTTATAAATACAAATCAAATGTAAAATCAATAATCGGGGTATCTTGATATAAAATTAGTTTCCACGCAGAAAAATGTATTTTTACTTGAATGATCAAAAAAATTACCGGTAACAGTATTATGTAACACTGACAATCCAAGAGAATGACAGCTACTTTTTTAAAGTGTCATATGTCTGGGGAAGGGGGTACGTGAGTGCAGCAAAGCATAAATATATTGTTGTGTGATACAGAATCTTTTAGCAGCGAAATAATGAACACGGTTGTCAGGAACTCCCTTCATAGAAACATGAAGCATGTAAACATAATGCTAGGAACTCGGTCGAGTGCGCTAAACTCAAAGAGCACAGAATGTGATGTACTCAAGAATCTTTCAGAGTGTGCCACAATCAAAAGAACTGTGATTATATTGTATTCGACATTGTATATGCATAGTCCCTTATAGAGGCGATGGAAGGACTGCGATATACATAGTCGCACGGTTTCATTTCGTCTCACGAGAATACAGCGATTACTGATATGCCGAATTAGCAACGCAGAACTACTTACCGTGACATAGTTTGGTATATCATAGTACATTTCTATTCATTACTCCAAGTCGAAATACGATATAATTGATATCTAAAACAGTTGCCATTCATTCAATTTGAATGCAGTAATTGACGTTACTGCATTATTTGATTAAATGGAAGGTCGATGCCGCGGCCGTTAGTTCATTTGTGTAGGTGATTATACCTTTGAAAAATAATTACCGTCTCAAAGTTTGGTTGTCTTGACAACTGTACTTATTGAATTATTGGTTGTTATGTTATGTGCATAACTTCGACTAATGAATAAAATATATCTGTATTGTTGACATATTTGGAAAAGTGTGATGGTAAACCTCAGGAGTCACGTGATTTTTGATCATAATGAAAAACGAGTAGATGAAAAACCTTTGAACGTTAGTACGTAATACAGTAATAATGATGACATTCAGGAATCTCTACTCGTGCCGTTGTATGTGTCATGGTCAGGCGAAATCAGTCAAAACTAGCTTAGTAGTCAATGCATATAACTGCGAAGCAATACGTGAAGTAAAATGAAGCATCTAGTAAAAGTTGAGATTTTTTCGGTCGTAATCATGATTGAGAGAAACATAATAAGAGTCAGTTATATTGTTGACAATAAGTTTTCAAATCTTTCAATGACCACCAGTGGATGTAAAATAGACACAGCACTGTAATAGATGCCTATTGAGTACATTCTTCGACACTTTCAGAATATTATAAAAGTTCAACCGTGCATGAACACATGAGTGTATACGATAGACCCGGCAACAAAAGTTAATAAGTGTGGCTATTTGGACATTGTAAGTCTGCTTAGCTTAGTTCTTAGTTGTTGCAAAATATCAATAGGCGGAATTTGAGAAACTGTGGGCCCAGGAACACGAGAAGAAAAGAGAAAGAACACGTCAACATATGTTGAATCGAAAGACTGCATGTGGCGAAGAAGTAAATATTTGACACTGGAGTGTGCTAGAGTTTTTTAGTATTCGATATGGTTATTGCGACAGCTAATACACCCCCTGTGTTCTGTTATGGTCACAGTTGAATCGCACGTCACAGTCACGACGATCGATTGTATGATATAATTGTACACATAATATGCGGCCCGAGTACAATGAACACTCTAATTTCAGGAGGCAGCCAGTCAGATAAATTAGTTATGGACATTTAATTCATTTTGAGTCACGAAGAAATTATATTCGTTCTTTGCCACAGTGGCACTAGATCATCAGCTATTTACAACTGATACAATACGTGCAATTGAATATCACAACTACAATGATGGCAGAAGCTAAAGCGAGGGGTGGGGTGTCATCAAACGTCCCAGGTGTGTTACCCCGAATTCAATACATACATGAACTAACCCTTCCCGATATAAAGCGTGGGTCATGTGTTGTTGACCAACTTTTTGTTTCTTCTCAAAACTTTTAGGTAAAATTGTACTAGCATTTATGAATTTAAGTGACTGTAAATATATATCCGTAAAATTTCTCACGTATTACACGTACATTAATTCTAAAGTGGGTGCGCTGTATGCCATGGCAACAACGTGGGCCGTTATATGCACCTGGTGACCTGAATTCATGAATAAACTTCTTATAGATATGTGTGACCTTATCATTACGTTATCGTTCGTATCTAGGTGACAAGAAGAGACGAGATACCATACAAAATATACAGTATAATCCTCATTTTGACATTTACATAACAGCGTCTCTGAAAGGTGTATTATGCGTATGGACAGCAAAGGTGAGTGTTTTCATCTGCATGCATATTCGAACAATACACAATACTCTCGGTAAACCTGTTCCCATCATCTTTATAAATATTTATAATGTTCAATGGCAGTCATTGAATCCAGTCAATCAATCATCGAGAGAAGTGCGCAACGACATCGGTTGTAAACGACGGACCGAAAACATTCAAATTCAATCGGCCAATATAAATTTCTTGTTTCAGTTTTAATTTTGAAATTTCTAAATATATATAAGGGAACGGGTTTGTTATGACAAGAGTAGATTGAAAAAAAAAAACCATTATCATATAATATGAATATTTTAAAAAAAATTAGTAAAAATCGCATAGATTGATAGACAAGACCAAATGTTAGGATATAATTGTTCTTCTGATAACAGGTTCCGTAGATCACAATGGTAAAAAGTTTGTTTTTAAAAGTAATTTAAAGATGCATATCATGTTTATAAAAATTACACAAATTCCTGACACTGAAACTATAGTGATTGAACAATCGCCATTTTGTTTAATACTAACAAATATTCGACTCAAACCTACTGCAATCCTGGAGAAAATATATTGCATACACTGCATTATATTTACGCCGTGTCATTGTAGGTAAATAGGCTGATTGCATTTTTTTAAGTTTGTGATTAATTTGAAGTGTGTTTTTTCACTACTTTAAAATTGTTGACAAATTTCCCTTATATTTGCAATTTACGGAAATGTATGTATGCACTATAACGCTTACATTTGGTCCAACGTTAGTGACAAAAAAAAATATAGATGAATACAAATGTTGTATGCCGGGAATATGTTACATATATGTACAAATACAAACAAACAAGTCTGTCGGCTTACCAGTGTTGTAATTGTCATGAAAACCTACGTTCTGGAAAGCATTCGAAAATAAATTCCCATGTCGTCTGCTACATTGTTTGGTTGTTTATACTTCATAACTCACTATCGTTTACAACGAGCCCTGTCATTCACTGATGGGAGTAGTTATTCGTCATGAACACCAATCAAATGCGCGGTTACTTATATAGTGTACTGTGCGTGAATGCAAAGGAGAAAATATTGCGAGGTGATCAACCCCGCCACCCAGCTTAAACTATTGACGTCGCCCTTTACTGATGGAAATGAATGTCCAGACAGGCCCGTGACGATATGACACGAATGACTTGGTGGTGTGGTGTGGAGTGAATGTGTTTGGAATGGGACAACCGGAAGATGGAGTCTGAAGGCGAAATTGGCGCATATTACACACTGATTACGGCCCGGTCCACAAACGGAGAGGCAAAGTGGAGGTTCTCACTTTCATCAAATAGAGAGAAGACGAGGGCACCATCATTCAACGCATAAGGTACAGTTTCTGGATCCACATCCAAGTGCCCCAGGTATCGACGACGCTTAGAACAGATTGTGCGGAAGACCGGAGCCTGCTAGCCTGGAATCCAACCATTCAGGATAAACCATTACAATTCTTTGGGCGATGGCACAAAAACTGTGCAAAATTTTTCTTTTTCTTCATCTAGTTTTGTTCAAAAGTTTTGTTTCCATGATGAATTTACTATATTTGTTTTATTTATACACTATGTGGAATAATTTTTTTTTTTCAGTTACTTTTCTTTGCAATTTTCTTTTTCTCTCAAATCTGCACTCAAATCGAGCGCACTCAAGAATGATTTTTCAAAGTCTCATAGGTGGCATATAGTCTACCTGCTAGAGTTTAACCTGGTTTATCACTCCAGCCTATCGGAAACGAATGTTCAAACAGTTTATCTTGCATGTTGCACCACAAGTCACTTGGTGTATAAGTGCATGTCCAATTACATGTTTTTGCCTTGGTTAGTCATAAATAATGTTTTCTGATTAAGTTTATAATATATTGACCATTATTTTAAAACATTTCTTTATTGTTATTTTGTAGAACATGCGACTGCAGTCATGCTGTGATATAAATGTAAGTATTTGCCACTTGTGCCACTAATGCACTGGTATATTCCTATAAGCAGTACATTTCATTATTGTGGGTGATTTCTGCAGGCAAATTGACCAAGACGGATTTGTATGAACTTTGGAATGTCATAAAAACTTGTTTTCATATGATGGAATTTTGGTGAGGCTCCAAAAGTCTACGAAATGATGATGTCCAAAATACTGAAAAAATTCAATAATTATTTATTTCAATTTTGTTTACTTCACTACATACATCTAAAAGAATATTCATTCTTTCTTTCTGTTTGGTCATAATTTGTGCTCATATCTTAGTGGCAACAAATAAGTTAGTATTGTCTTGTCCACGATTGCATGCTTTTTTTTTTTTTTTTTTTAGGAGTCAGCGTGGGTCACAGGTGTTGATTACTTACCTAGTGTAAGAAAAGTTGCTGTGGCAACAGAAAGAAGCATAGCAATATGGGACAACAGATCAAAAGGCAAACATCCTGTAAGTTTGACTATTTATTCTTTAAATGGCCAATTAGTGCAGAGTACCGGGACCATGGACAATAAGGGTACACATATTCTAGATACTGTACATGTGAATTGCTGTTTAGATAATGTATAAATATAGCCCTAGTTTTATCATGTATTTATTCTAGATAGGCTGTCAGAAAACATGATAATGGAGCAGGGAATATATATTAAACCATAAATGTATAGAAATTGATTTATAATGGTGCTCTTTCTTCTTTCTTCTTCTCATCAACAACGAGTTCCGTATGTGGTAGTTAACCCAGATTGATCACATGATCATTTAACATGTCATTTAATGGCTTGAATTCTGAACTATACTGATACTATACTATACTGTTGTGAAAACGTACACTCTAACAACAGGTGTTGTCATGATGCAACATACAGTATGTATCCTTGATACATATGCTAAATAACATCAGTATAATGGCAACCACAGGGCCAATGCCCAGTGTGTTTTAAGTGCAGCTATCAATGTGTTTATTGTCTCTGCTCTCTGTTTTCTAATACTGTGGAATACTTTATTTTTGCTGGAATTAATTTTCGCTGAAAAGGCTTTTTGGGTGTTTTGTATGGGATTTATTTTCACAGATTTTTGATGAGTTTAATGTGAAATATTGGAAAAAAGTATATTCGCTGGAATTTATTTTACGGAATTATCCCTTCAGCGAAAATAGCGAAAATAAATTCCAAGCGAAAATAAAGTAATCTACAGTAATGCATACACTGAATACATAGTAACCTATACATGATCTACATACTCCAGTGGTTTTTTTTTTGTATTGATATAACCTTTGACCTATTTGCTGTTTGATTGTTCATAGCCTAGCAGTTTACAGACTAACTTGTTTCAAAATTTCAATTTTTTTTTTAATTTATTTACAATCAATTAAATTACAAAGCAAGACAAAACATTTAAAATGGTTCAAAATGTTTCTACTGTTACAAAAAGGTTTCATAAGGAGGTATTTGCTATGTTCAGACAGCATGTCAAAAAATGAATTTGTCTAATTCCAGAAACTTTTATATTTATCTGTAATTTAATTATCTTCCTTGCATTCATATGTTGGTATAACAACAAATGAGAAAAAATATATGAAGAAATTAACAAAATTATTTTTAGAAACACATTCGTGAGTTTCTATTCTCCAAAATCTATGCATGTGTAACTTGTATTTGCAGCAGAAGAGGCCAAAGGTCAACCCAAGATTTAGATGTGTCTAATTCAGTTTTAGAAAGAAAATATATAGTTATATATGCCTGAAATATAATAACAATAACTAGAAAACACATTCAATTGTGTATATTGTCCAAGACAATTGATAGTTTAATTTAGATTTTGAAAATTTAACACACAAAAGAACTTTCTCAAAATGTACAGATTGTTGAGAATGTAGCTGCGTTTACTGTTCCAGTAAACATTAGGGAATCAGTTTTCAGGAATCAGTATTTGATGTGAATTTTACAATGGATGCTACACTCTACATATTCAAAGTCCAATATGGCTGTGTACACAGAGTTTGACAGGATAGAATCTGAACAAGTTCTAAACATAATTCTGTGTGTTTCAAAAAGTTAAGCAGATTTTATTTGGTAGACAAAGACTTCACTTTATGAAATGTTATATTTATCAAATATTACTTGTGAAACCCTGCTTAATTACAAAAATTGACAACCCCAATATTACCAAACAAATCCAACACCTGTGCATAAAGATATGAAAAATACCATTGATTAATAATGATTATCCCTGAAGATTGATTTTTTTAAAATGTTTTTCTAAAATTCTGACAAACAAAAGCAATAATATGCACATTTTTAGCATGGTGACAAGAAACATAAATATTGTTGGTATGTATTTATTTGTAAAGTTGATATTCCTTTAAAACTGTTTACTATAAATTTACATGTAATAAATTGGTCAAATTGCTTGCATTTTCTTATAATTTCAAATTATTCTCTGTTCATTCCCATATGCAGACCAATTTTGTTATCAAACCATTGGACCATTCACCGCAATGTATGACGTACATACCCTGTAGTAATAGCATGCATGAAGACTGTATATTGGTTGGAGATGACCAAGGATGTATTAGTTTAATCACAATAGCAGCTAAAGATCTTAATCCTAAAGATGCTAAAGTCGACAAGAAAAATCCACTTAATCTCTGTCTGGATCCTGCTAATCTCAGCAAGTGAGTATTTTGTAGTGAACTTATTTCAGAAATTTGCAGCTTATTAGGCCAAAAAAAATTGTTGCCCTCAGCAAGTGGCTGAAAAATATGAAATATCGGGTCGCATTTTTTTTTTTTTTTTCTTTAATAGGCCCAAATATTAAAACATCACCATTTTAAGCAGTAAAAAGTGTTTCCTCTAAAAATTAACAATCCCCAGGGTCCCCTAGGGAGATAAGTGGCGACTTTCAACCTCGGGTTGATCTGTATTTAAATGCAAACAAATGAAAGAAACACTTTGATTTTTGTGTTTAATATCTAGCATGTGTTTGATTGATTCCCACATACCTCGGCTATTTACGATACCCTTAGTTTTCACAAGTTTAAAAAAAAAAAAATTCGACAGACCGACCCAATTTTTCAATTTTCCGACTTGAGGGCAACATAAGTTTTTTTTGTTGGCCTTATAGGCCTCCCACTGCAATTAAACTCCTATAGATGACAACATAAATACTTGAAAAGCAGGGGTTATTTTTGCACTAGAATCAAGCACCCACAATTTGAAAAAGTGCTTTGTCTATTTTATTTTTGTCTAATAATAAAACAGTCCCAGAAATGAAACCAAATAGCCACTGTACTGACAGTGAATATTTGATGAAACTGTACTCCCTTTAAATGTGTCTCTTATTTCAAAACCATTTGATTTTTACTAAAATTTAAAGCACCCACAAAGCTAAGGCTTGTTTATTCTAGTATCATGTTCTATAAAACAGTTTAAAATCCAAAAGTACATTCAAGCAAAAGTTGTTTACTAAATAGACTGGATTAAATTGGTTGCCAATGTGACTGCTCCTTGATACCAATTCTAGTAGTGTAAAACCTAGTCATAAAATATCATTATTCTTGTGCTTAACGGTTAGGTTATATCATGGAACTATAAACCCCAGGAAGAACAACGAAACTAAGAGGATTAAAAAAACTTTTGTCTTAGTTTATCTTACAGTGCTTTCGCTTTTGTTTCCACAACATTAGTCATACTCCATGTTAGTTGCCACCGATACGCCCGTATCAACCGCTTTGCTGGAAACGGAAAACTTGAAAAAAATATTTCATATCTGCGCAGTAAAATATTTCGTTCACTACGTATGCGCAAACAAGTCTGTCTGCAGGGTGACCTTCAGTGTTCCGGAAATTATGCAATGGGTCGGATTTTAGCGAGATTTCATAATTTTCAATG